TGTTCTTGGTCTTTGCAGGTTTGGTTGTAGCTGAAGATTGTTTTCGTTGTTGTTTGACCTTGTTGTGCATTAATACAATTAAACAAATGTTGTCTTTGTTTGTTTGCACCTGTTCCTCCTTTTTTTGGAGGCATAATTAAGATATCACCTGACGTAAAAACACCTGGAGATACTAACCTTAATTAATAATCTCAAAAATAGTTTGAAAATTGGATGTAAAATAAATTAATAGTAAAAAATAGAATCGACGATTTTAACAAAGAAAATGTACGTAACCGACAAGATAGAATGCGACCTATCTCGACCGTGAAAAATAACGAAATTACATCTTAAAACATCTTTCATCGTAAATGGCAAATCAATGCTTATTTGCTGGTATTAAAGAAATTCAACAATTTTATTTATAGGACATTCATCAAGAACGACAATAACACCGCAAATCTTATTCAAAATATATATGCCATATTGATATTTACCAATCTATTCATAATCACCTGACACGATTAAAATCGATTTTTCATGAAAACCTGATTATAACGGAAATGATCGTTAGTCATCGCTTGAATATCTATGAATTCACAAATTTTAACCAATTTTAATCGAATTTTCCTGCAAAAAGTAGAATGTTTATAGAAGAAATGAGATTTTTACACAAGTAATTAATAATAATCGTAATTTTCTTAGGCATATTTTTCAAAACAGAATTCTATAAGAAGTGATAGACTGCGTTTAGATAGGATTCAGATGAGTGTTACTTGTTTGTGCTAGAAATACAAGTATCAATATTTTGGTGCATTCTTAGTTCCGTTCTTGAGTCATCGTATGCATAATCCCATTTTATCTTGTTCTTTCATCATCAATCGCTTGCGTCAAAACATTGTTCTTTTCTTTTCGTCATTGGGAGTCATTGTATACGCGTATTGTCTTGTTCGGTTTGTACGTCATGCCTTTTTTCATCGAAAATTCGTTTTTTACTTTTTGTCATCAGATAATTTGCACATGCTATTTCTCTCCTTCCTATTTAACCCATCCTACTCTGTGTCACATTCATGGTTTTTACTCGTTCTACAATATAAAGATACCTTTATAATACTAATATGATTGTTCGCGTCGTGTCGTATAATTTGTTAGTGCCAATATTGGCTAATCGACCAGGACACTACTGTAAATGTCAAAGTGAATTTCTTGAAACTGACTATCGATGGAATTTAATTCAATCGCAATTAGAACAAGAGATTACCAATCATGAAAATACAATAATTTGTCTCCAAGAACTATCTCTTTCTTTGTTACCCAAACTTGAATTATTTTTTCGTCGATTGAATTACACTTTCTTTCATAATCTTTATGGTGAACAACGCAAGGATTATATGGGTGATGGCATAGCAATTCCAGTTTCGATGCAGCTCAATTCCATTTCAATGATTAAAATTGGAGATCATATACGATCGATCAGTAAACATCGTGAAAAACAAGGGAAGGTTTTAACATGGAAATGGGATCTCTACCAGTTTCTCATGAGCAAATTCATAGATCCCGTATCTGACCCTTGGCAAACTGCTATGAATAGACCCAATATTCTTATTTGTTTACAAGTCGTGATTGGTGGTAAACCATTGCGTATTGGTACGTACCACATGCCTTGTCTGTATAAAGAGCCTGAAGTTATGGCAATACACTCGTCGGTAGTAAAAGATTTGATGTTTCAATTGTCAGCTGGTCAAGATTTTATTCTATCAGGTGACTTTAATATTCAGCCATCAAGTGCCTGTTATCAAGCTTTAACAGAAAAAGGTTATACTAATCGTAATTTTCCAGAATCCACCAGTTATGAGATCTCTTATCGACCAAATAGTGAACAAGTGTTGAAGAGTGCCTATCGAGAAAAGAACGGAACGGAGCCTGTTTATACAGATTTTTCTTATACACCACATTCACCAAACTTTTGTGCTACACTTGACTATATATTTTTTTATGGTCATCTCATGGTGGGAAAAGTGTTGGAATTACCAGATCATCCTACTGGTGAATCCTATCCTGATAAGACACATCCTTCGGATCATTTGATGATTGCAGCAACATTTCAATTATTGTAATTTAATAAAGGAAAAAAAACTTCTGTCTCTTCTAACACTGTCATTAAAATAAATCTATTCTAAATCACGACATCCGAACACTAGTAAAGTTAGCAGCAAATTCAAGTTTTTTGGGTGTGGGTGTGGGTGTGAGTGTAATGAACAAGAGTATCAACACTCACACCTAACAATGCCGAGATTTGATTGAAGCGCTGAAAATAGTAAAAAAAGCTTCAAATAACTTGTCGCAAATTTGGACAGAACTGTAAATTAATATCTGCAATTGTAGATAGCAATTTCAAATAATCAAGTCTTTTTCGACTTTCCAATTTCCAGCGTTTTCGTTTTCGCATGTTGTATTTCTCTCTTTGTATTTTCTTTTTGATTCGTATAATTTGATTTTTCACATCAATCCATTTAGAATCTTCATCGTGCGCTGTTCTTTTTAATATCTTCTTTGCTCGATCAAGATAATGCATTGCTCTTCTATAGCAGCCCATTTTCGAATATACCAACGATAAAACTTTCAATGTTCCAGCCATATTTGGATGATTCGATATTTGTATTCGTTTTCGCAGTCGACGTGCTTTCAAAGCATATCTCAATCCCAATAAATGTTTATTCAAATAACTGTAATTAAGACCCATATTTTCAAATATAGCGGCAAAATCAGGATGGTCACGTGGAAGACATTTCTTTTTCATAGTAAGTGCCCGCCGATAATATTCAATTCCAAGTTGATTAGCGCCAACACTAGAAAATCCGATACCAATATCGACTAGCACCGAATTCTTTTCATTTAACTCCGTTTCTGGCAATGTCTTATTGTACATCTGTAGTGCACGCATGGAATACAGAACTGCTTCACTTGGATTATCCATGTCATCTAGTGTTTTTCCTATTATTGATAAACAATCAGCAATATCCGAATGGTACTTCGGTAAAGTTCGAGTTCTTATATCTAATACACGTCGAAATTGAATCAATGCATCTTCATATTTACATTGTAAACGATAAGTATTACCAAGTGCAAGAAGTACTTGACATTGCA